CAGGAGCTGACAAAGTATGAGAGTTAAATTCAGAGTCCTCCTGACCCTCATTAGCTCTCCCTGCAATCGACATCGCGACTTACCAAAAACTGTTTTAGCTAAAACTGATTTCCAAAACAACGAAAGTACTATAGGATAGACTTATCTTCAGCTGGTTTACTAATAAGGTAATCTTCTCGCCCCCTCGATGAAATTCCTCGAAGAACTTTAAAATGGCCAGTCCTCCCTCGGGTGGAAAGATTGTTGAATATTATCTCTTCTTCGTGCGATAAGACAGTGATTGATCAGGCCTCCATCCTCTTCCAAAAATAGATAACGCTGCCACCAAAATGTTAGAGTCCCGAGCGGTTGGGTTCGGTAATTCGGAAGAAATAGCACTCGCGAACAAATACTAAATAATATTCTTTATTTAATCTCAACTCTTAGAAAGACAATTCAATGTGTTCATCTTGATACGGAAGGTATCAGGTGAACCGCGATAAGAATCGGTTAAGTTACTGGCCCAGAGCCATCAGTCTCTCGAGTATTTATTACAATGAGAGGCTATGACGTCTCGGCCATTGCCTCATGTCTGCATGGTGTTACGATAACACCATGCGATTGAGCCGAGTGGAAATGCTGATGTATGATCCACTGGCTTACTTATTAATGCGAATATACGCGCTTTATAATGCACGTACATTATGGCTAAGTATACAATTGCTTAATTCTATGTTTTTATTCCGAAATATGTGCTACATTTGTTCGCCCATTTTTCGGAATGACGAAGTAATTATGCTCCACTTTGTGGGGCATAACAGTCCGTTAACCAGGTGGATATGCGTTGATTATTCAATTTTTTGTTTCGAGTTCCATATAGCCCGCCTTGAATTGTAACGAGGAAAAATATACGTACAACGGGATTTTATCGCGATAGTGCTGCTGGTCACTATGATTCCCCAATTCAAATTTTCTAAAGAGTGCATTCATTTTTTCAATCATTTTTTAATTTTGTTTAGAGTTCTGAATATCCCATCTCCTGGGCTACTGGAGAAAAAATTATGTATCATTTAATTTTAGAGTAGGTCAATGACCCCGGATATAGAGAGCATGTGATTGCTTCGAGTGACTCAGTTGTTGATTTTCTCGAAGAGTTCCATATAACCCGGCATTTTTGACGATGAAATCAATATACATGGCACCAATAGCACTTCGCATTGATGGTTAGTTCTGGAGAGGGGATCACGGCGAATGTCCGTTGACCAGATGGATATGCGTTGATTATTCAATTTTTTGTTCCGAGTTTCACATAGCCCGCCTTAAATGGTCATGAAGAAAAATGAAAGTACAACGCGACTGCATCGCGTTAGTGATGCTGATCACTATTTTTCTCCAAATAAAATTTTTCAATGAGTTCATTCAATTATTTTCTAATTTTGTTTAGAGTTCTTAATAGCCCGGCACCTGAACTATTGGCAAAAGATTATACGTCATCTAATTTCGGGGTAGATCAATGATCTCTGATATTGAGGGCATGTGATAACCCCGAGTGACTCATTTAATAATTTTCTCAAGGAGTTCCATATAGCCCGGCATTTTTTATGATCAAATAAATAAACATGGCACCAATAGCACTTCGCATTGATCGTTAATCCCGGAGAGAGGATCACGGCAAATATCGGTCAACCAAATGGACATACATTGATTATTCAATTTTTTGTTCCGAGTTCCATATAGCCCGCCTTTAATGGTCATGAAGAACAATGAAAGTACAACGCGACTGCATCGCGTTAGTGATGCTGATCACTATTTTTCTCCGAATCAAATTTTTCAATGAGTTCATTCAATTATTTTCTAATTTTGTTTTGAGTTTTGAATAGCCCGGGACCTATCCTACTAAAAAAATGATATCTCATTTAATTTCCGCGCAGGTCATTGACCTGCAATATTCATCGGCGTATATTGTCTGTACCATTGAAACCACAAATTATTTGATTACACCAGAAAAAAGGGCAAAAAAAATGGCGGATTTCCAACATTGTGCCGCTAACTTGACGGGGGTAGAGTACAGAGTCACCGGAGGTGTACCGCAAGGTTCCGTATTGGGTCCTCTATTGTAGAACATCATGTATGATGGGCTGCTCAAGCTGGAATTACCGCGGGATACTAAACTCGTGGCATTTGCAGATGACGTGGCTGTAGTCATTGTGGGCAAATACCTGGAGGAGATCGAACTCAATTTTGACACAACCGTCGAGACGATCCGCCGCTGGATGGACACAGTAGGCCTGAAACTGGCGGAACACAAGACAGAGACCGTGCTGATCACCAGCAGAAAGAATACCGAGACAATGACGGTGCAAGTCGGGTCCTGTGAAATTACCTCTCAGCCCTTCATCCGATACCTGGGGGTGATGATCGATGCTCGACTCAATTTCAAGCAGCAAGCGGAGCACGTGGGTGCCAAGGCGTCTGGATTTGGATCCATTTTATCACGTCTCATGCCCAACATTGGAGGCCGCAAGCAAAGAAGACGAGCACCGCTGTCTTCAGTGGTTACGTCGGTGCTCACATATGGTATTTTCATTTGAGCTGACGTATTCGAGCTGCAGGAAGCGCGGCGTAGGATCGCACCAGTCTATCGGCTGAATGCCCTCAGAGTTGTGAGCGCATATCGAAGGACGCAGTGTGTCATCGCAGGAATGTTACCGATGGAGGTACTACTTGAGGAGTAAGATCCCTGTACCAGCGGAAGAGATCTTAAGTGCTGAGTCCCGAAAAACTGGTGATAGAAAAGAGGCGAAACAGCTTGAAACGATGGCAGCTGAAGTGGGACAACTCCACCAAAGCGAGATGGATTCATCGTCTAATCCCGAAGGTGGATGTCTGGCTGAATCGCGATCATGCGGAAGTCAATTACTGTCTCACACAGATGCTGTCGGGACATGGGTGCTTCCGGGCCTATCTTCATAAATTCAAACATGAGGATTCCCCGGAGTGCCTGACTTGCATAGGAGTAAATGAGGATGCGGAGCACGTGTTTTTCACAAGCCCACGCTTCAGCGAGATCCGGAGTACCTGGGAGACAGCACTCGGAAGGCGGTTCTTGCCTAGGAACGTAATAGAAGTTTTGCTGTCATCGCAGGCAGCCTGGAACGCAACGAGCAACTTCGCGGCCCAATGCATGAAGGAGCTCAGAAATAAGGAGCGCTAGCGCAAAACTGCAGAATAGATGCAAAACCTGTTCGAACCTCCTACCCTCACACAATATCTTAGTAGGACAGGGGGACGTTCAATAGGCTTAAACAACGAGGAAGAGCAAATAGCTGAGACCTCCCTCGCGAAGTAATAATTAACGGTGGTGGCGCGAGGGAAAATAGGGTCGAATTCCAGGGGTCAAGTGGTTTTAGTTGGTGAGGACCCTACACAGTGCGATGGTAACCGCCATGTTACTGTTCACTATCGTGCGGTTAGGTCCATTTCATCTCATGACCCCGGAGGAAGAAAAAGACACACACATACAAACATGTTTCCAAAAACGTGTCAATATAATTCTAGAGGTCATGAAATGTCAATAAATCATGAAAATTCCCCTTTTGATTTTCGGGATAATTACAATAACTTCTCCCTTAGGGTCGGGAAGTTGATAGAAAAAAATCTATATCAGAAAAAAAATTTGAACCCGCATCGCCGAGTTTGCAGGCGGACGCGCTGCCACTCGGCTAAAGCGCTACTTCGAAAACTATATGTTGTGAACTTATACATATGTTATGCCCAAATCGTTCACACAAAATTTCTTCCTCGTTTTTGGGCATCTGCTCCTAGATCTCTGTTGAGGGATACCACTAGTGACATACTCAAATACATGAAGACTGGATGCTGTCGGTGTCCGACAACAGCCGGCTTCTCCTTGTGAGTTTTATTTTTGTGTACTTTATTTTTCACCCTCACGCCTGACGCTCCTTTCTCACTGTCACATTTGACCCTTGTGACGCTTATCTTTTATCTTTGTTTCAGATCTGCATTTTTGAACACTCTTAATTTTCTTAATTCTGGTCCTTACGCCCATACCTCATGATCTTGCGTTTTGACCTGTATTTTGGATTATTACTACTGACGCTTGCGACCCTCATTTTTCACCCATACACCTGACCCTCATCACCCTCATTGAAGACCCTTGTATATTTTTGTCTCTTATAACCCCCCTTCCCGCCGATACTCTACAACAGAAGTCCTATTTCAGCCCCCCTCAATATGAAACCCTGTCCCCATTAATGGACCCCCCCCCTCATAATAATTTTAAAAAATCTAGATTTTAGAATTTTTTTTTTCTAAAACAGAAAATATTATTGTCTAAAATAAATCGCAATTATGCAGATTAACTTTACACAATTCTTTCCTAGAACTTACGAAATATTTTCAAGATTCTAGAAAAATGGAGGTTAGAAACCATGGTTTCTGGAATCAGGAAACGGTCTGCTAAACTTTGAACATTTGCTCTGTACAGATTCGAACGCTTCTTTTTATCAATCATGAGAAATTGCCAATTGTTAATCTATTTTTCTCATACTCTCCCATTTAATACATGACAATTTATTGAGTCCATATGCCTAGAACCTTAAAACGACGATTCTAAAAACCACCACCTAAATACTAAAAAATAATACTATATTTTGGGCATATTAAGAATAATCCCGGTTCCCCTCCTACCTCATCCAAATCCCATCCACTTATTTCCTATGATATCACAAAGATGTGGAACGCTATATAAATTTCCTTCTTTATTGTATACTAAAAAGTATTTAGTATTTAGGTACTGAGAAAAGAGTAAATATTCGAATATTTAGTTATTTATTATTCAGTAAATACTTTTTTACCCATCATTGCTTCAAACCGTGTACAATTTGAGGATATGTGCAATTAATTGTCTGCCACTCCTATGTATCCATCTGACATTGTGTAGATTTACTCCTCCCGTTATTTTACATTTTTGTATGAATGATATTCCATTCCGGTTTCAGGAAATTTGATGGATGCTGGCCGGTTGTCCCTTTGTGGAGAAGAGAGTTTTGGCACTGGTTCCGACCATATTCGAGAAAAAGATGGGATCTGGGCGGCTTTGGCGTGGCTGAACATCATTGCTAAACTTGATAAATCGATCGAAGAGATTTTGAAAGACCATTGGAATACTTACGGTCGAAATTTTTTTATCCGATATGATTATGAGAATTGTGACATTGAGGAGGCAAGTCATGTGATGGCTGAAGTCGAAGCGAAGATTCAAGATCCAAGTTTCAAAGGCACTAAATTGAGCTCCGGTAATAAAGTTTACGTGGTTAGAGAAGCTGATAATTATTCGTATAAGGACCCCATAGATGGAAGTATCGCCACGAAGCAGGTACTTCCCATCTCTCTACTAGTTCAATTGTATATTTAGTAAAAGTGTGGCGATTGTCCCTCACAGAGCCCCCCCCCCCATTTTACCCAATGCCCCATCCTTGTCTCCCACCTCTTAAAACCAAAGACACGAACTCCTTAGTTTGTCCGTACAGCCCGAATTCAAACAGAGTTTGGTGGATCATTTTGTAGAAATGATCATTTGAAAAAAAAAATCCTCAGAAATTTATCACATAAACAGTATTGTAATACACTAGCTGCTTACTGCTAATTACGCTGCCCGTGGCGGAAAATCACAAATTGTAGGCACAAAAAGCAAATGATTAGAATTTTTTTTTTTCAATGTTGACCTGACACTGAATGTGATAACCACACTTGAATTGAACGGAATCATAATGCCAAATTCATATCCAACTCAAGAAAAGGCTGTAAATCCACTGATTGGAATCCACATCAAATTATAAACATTTTTCTGTCGTTTTTAGTTTCAATGATGTAAGTCACTTGTCTATTTGAGAGCTTAGATTGTATTCAAAATTTAAGAGACGGGGTTATGAACTCTGTCATTAACACCCGAAAGTTGCCAAATAAAGGTTGGTGATACGAAAAATTTTATTGCGTTTCTCCCTCAAACACTTAGCAATTTCAGGGTTATTCACGAAATAATCTATAGAGATTTTTCATTCGAAACATATTTATAACAGCTAAGCAAGAGGAGAGGTGCACGAAGATCTATCAAAAGAGCTTCTTAAAGAGGATTTTGTTGAACACAATAAAGAGTCTTTACTTTTGTCATCATACCTACACCTTTCAGAGATATTCACAAAATAATTCTGACCAAACATTCTAAATTACGTTCTATTACTACAGATTTTAATGATACATCTCGCGACAAATGTAGATCTTTTCCTTGTAATCAGAAATTCAGTCACTCATAAATTTTACACTCATCTCGTTTCTCAGCATTATTATTGAATTATAAATCCGCCTCACCGTTCTAGTATTTACTGAACATTGAATAAGTCACCAAAAACCCTACTAAGGAGTAATATTTGTGATGTGCCGCTTGTACACTGTTAAAAAAATTTCACCCGAAATTCTAACAAAAATGTTGGAAGTTTTATCCACACATCCTTTTTTCAGATATCGTATAAGAATTTCCTCTAACAAAAGATGAATATTCGCATACAGGAGTATTGTAAAATTCCGAATCCCATCTGTTGGTCCGGGGCGTAAATCCTTCACGGTTGTTGAGATCCAGAGGTGAGTGCTGAGGTAGTGCTGTGCCGCGTGCAAGAGGCCACTTGGTTGGTCCAAAGGCTTGCTTGGTTGAAATCTCTCGTCCGTGAGTAGAACCAGTGAGCCGATCTTGATTTGATGAGTCGGGTGGTGCCACTTGGATATTGATTGGAGCCGTTATAGATAGCCCGTGGACCACTCTTCCAGAACCCTTGAAGTTTTTGTTCAATGAGCTGCCTCCTGGAGAGTCGTGAGACGTTGATCTGTTCCAGTGATGGTTCTGGAAGAGTCGTGGGAGCCTGACCTATGAGAAAATTTCCTGGTGTCATGGCTGAGCAATTTTGAGGATCATCAGTGAGCGGTTCCAATGGTCGCGAGTTGAGTACAGCTTCGAGCTAGGCCAGTAAGGTGGTGAGTTCCTCGAATGTGAGCAGATCCTCGCCGATGGTCCGGTGGAGATGGAACTTCACCGACTTTACCGCCGCTTCCCATTTTCCTCCGAAATAAGGTGCACCTGGAGGGTTAAACGACCATTGAGTTCCATCGTTGATAAGGAGGTGGGTGAGCTGTCTCGATTCCGATGATTCTGAAGAGAAGAGCCGTTTGAGTTCCTTGTCCGCGCCGAGGAAGTTGGTCCCGCAGTCACTGAACAAGGATTTGCAAATTCCACGACGACTCGTGAACAGACGATATGCTGCGATGAATCCTTCCGCTGAGTAGTCTGACATGACCTCGAGATGGACCGCTGAGGTGGCCATGCAGACAAAGACTGCCAACCAGCCCTTGTACGATTTGTGATCCCGCCCTTTCCATGACCTGAGAGACACTGGGCCGGCATAGTCGATTCCAGTGTTGAGAAAGGCTCGAGCGAGGGTGAGTCTGGCTGGTGGCAACTGGCCTATGAGCTGTTGAGCACGCGCTCCACATTGGCGAGCGCATGTTACGCACCTGAGAATGAAGGAACGCACTGGTGCCCGGCCTCCGAGTATCCAGTAGCTCCTCCTGAGCTGGGTGAGCGTGAGTTGAGTGCCTCCGTGGAGCGTTTGGAGATGAGCTTATCCGATGAGCAATTCGGCCAGTTGAGATTCCTTCGGAAGGATTGCCTGATTTCTGCTCTGGGTTGATGTGAGCGAACTTCAGCCGACCTCTAACTCTTAAGACCCCTTGGTGATCAATGAAGTGTGTGAGCTTGGTGAGAGGGTGAGATTTGGTGAATCTCTCACCTCCTGAGATGGTCCGGAGTTCGTTCTTGAGATGAGCGGTCTGAGTGAGCTTGATCCAGATGATGCGAGCCTCTTGAAGATCACTAAGAGTGGGTGGACAATGGAGAGAAGAGTTCGGAACTCTCCTGAGCCGAGCGATGAATCTTCGGCAGATTGCGGTGACTCTAAGCAGAATGTTGAAAGATGAAAATCTGTCGATGAGATCCCAGAGTCCGAGTGGTTGAGCGTGCACATGTAGTAGAACTCCTGGTTTTTCCTCGAGGTCTACGTTGAGGTCCTTTTCCAACACGTGAGTAGGTCATGATGAGCTGTCGTGATGGAGCCATGGTGGCCCTGTCCACCAGAGTTTGTGAGCTGCCAGTTTCGATGATGATAGACCTCGAGAAGCGCAGTCTGCAGGATTCTCCGTGCCTGGTACCAATCGCCAATGAGCGTGGTGAGTGATACCCAATTCTTCACGAATTCCTTCCACCTTGATGAGTGTGAGCTGATCCAAGTGAGCGTTACCGATGAGTCCGTCCAGAGATAGGTGGAAACATTCGTGAGGTTGAGTTGATCCTAAACATACTTGACCAATTTGGCAAGAAGCAGCGCTGCAGTGAGTTCTAAGCGTGGGATTGTCAGCCGTTTGAGCGGTGCGAACTTGGTTTTGGAGCAGACCAGTGTGATTTGTGGTTCATCGTGGTGATACACCTTGAGATAAACTACGGCTGACATCGCCACTTGGGATGCATCGGAGAATCTGTGCATTTCCATGACGGAGTCCGTGAGCAATCCAAGCCACCGAGGTATAGTGATCTTCGATAACTGTGTGAGTTCGTTCCTGAATTGCCCTCATTGTTTAGCACTTGTCAAAGAAACTGATTCGTCCCATTCCCGTTTTTCTAGCCGAAGAGATTGTAGCAAGATCTTGGCGTTAATCACCACTGGTGGTAGGAATCCGAGTGTGTCGAAGAGTCGAGCTATTTCCGATGAGAAGACTCTCTTCGTGATTGATTCGGTTTCCGGCAGAGAGATTGCGAACATGAAGCTTTCCGTGCCTGGATTCCATGAGACCCCCAAGATCTTGATGAGTGATTCCTTGTCCTCGATGGATCGTTGTTCTTGAGAGGTGCTGTCAGGTCTCAGAGAGTTGAGTAGAGCTTAACTGTTAGAATGCTATTTGGCTAATGGGAAGCCGCCTGACAAACACAGTTGAGTTACCTGATGAGCTGTTAGAAGGAGTTCCTCGTCCGCATCAGCACCTCCGCATATATCATCCACATATCGTCCTTTGATGAGCGGTTCTACTGCGAGGGGGTATTTGGATCCTTCATCCTCGACGAGCTGGAGCAGGATACGCATAGAGAGAAATGGAGCTAACCTTGTACCATACGTGACGGTAGTGAGTTGATATGGGGTGATATTTCCATTTGAGTCGGTCCAAAGAATTTGTTGGAGCGGCCAATCATCCGGATGCACCCTAATTTGCCGGAACATCTTGGTGATGTCCGTCATGCAGATGAGCTTATGACGCCGAGAGAAGAGGAGTACATCCGCGATATCCCTCTAAAGTTTTGGACCTGCGTGCATGAGTTCGTTGAGCGATCGTCCTGAGCTGGTCTTGTTTGAGCCATTGAAGACGACCCTGAGCTTCGTCGTCTCGCTGCTTGCCTTGAGAACTCCGTAATGAGGGAAGTAATACTCCGGAGGAGCGTGAGCTCGAGAAGAATGCAGACCGTCCGAGACCCTCAACCCTCCTGAAGCCGTAGCTTCATGTGCTAAGGTCATCTCGGGGGCCGTACACCCCCCAGTGAGCTGATGTGGATGAGCTGATGATGTGAGCTGTCCAGGAGCCTGGCGCATATGGACGAGATCCTCGTATTCCTTGACGAAGCCCGAGCTGACGATTTCCGGTGACGATTTCAGGCTGAATGAGTTGTCCATATACATCAGCCCCAAGAAGAATGTCAATTGGTGCTGGTTTGACGCAATCAGGATCAGCGAGTTGAAGTCCTTGAAGGTGATCCCATGTGAGCTGAGCCGATGAGAATGTGGGTAATGAAGTTGTGAGCCGTCGAAGAGCATAGGAAATGACTCTAAGTTGAAAGTGAGAGTAAGTAGACTGTTAGGTGAGCTGAACTTTGCCTAATGCTGGTCCAGATGCCGTGTCTCCGATTCCTGAGATTCGGAGTGAAGGGTTTGGGAGTTTGGGTTTGAGCTGGGCGCGCTAGTACGTGACTGGCGATCAGGTGGAGCTGGACGTTGTGGCTGATCTGAGGTCTGAGAGTGCAGCAGTGAGTGATGGTTGCCGCTGCAAATTTGGTACTTCAGACGTAAGCGGCAATCCTTAACCGAATGACGCCCGAGACAATTGTAGCAGAAGGATCGGCTTTCGACTATCTCCCTACGATCCGACAGCGGGAGATTCTTGAAAGATGAGCAGGACGATATGTAATGGTCACCATCGCACATGGAGCACGGGTAGGTGATCTTGCTTGAGGTGAGATTGGCTTGAGCAGTGATACCGTGAACGCGAGCTGATCCTGTTGACCGAGTTGGAGCCTGTGAGCTCTTACTGGAGCTGGACTGCTGAGACTTCACGGTGCAGGTAGAAACCCGTGTGAGTGAACCTGGCTCGATGCTCTCCATGGCTCGTGCTCTCCCAGTGAGGAACACCTTGAAGTCCGTGCAGCTGGGGTATTCGTTAGATGACTCGATCTTGCTTGCCCAAGATTCACGGAGCTTAGGGCTGAGTCGATCCGTGAGAGTGTGAACGATCACCTGATCCCAATGAGCTACAGGTGATCCGAGCATTTCAAGCTATCACCGGGGGATTTAGCACACAATCCAAATGCGCCGGGATGAGCAGTCTTTTGTTCTCGTATCGAGCCAAAAGAAGTTCTCAGACGGTAGAGAAGGAATCATCCGAGATCGGCAGATTCGCGATGATATGAGCCGTTTCGTCGGAGAGACTGGTACGTAGGTAGTGCTTCTTGTCCACATTGAAGAGATCCGGGTTTGAGTCGACCAAGGATGAAAACAGATCCCGGAACGAACGCCAATCTGAATCGTTCCCGGAGAATTTTGGCAGCGTCATCTCAGAAAGATATCTCTTGAAATAAGTTGGTTGAGTAGAGCCTGGGGCCGCCGATTGTCGAGGGGTGGACGAAACCCCTTTGTGATTAATGAGCTGAGCGAGGAGACCCCATCGTCATGATAATGCACGATCGTTGTATCGAATAATTTATCCTTGAAATATGGCATTTCAAGGATATTATCCACCTTCGCGCTGCTTGCGACGAGTTTTTCATGAGTCCCCTCACATTTCTCCCAATAGCTCTCCAGGATCTCCAATTTGTATTGCAAGTTAGATATCGAGAGCCGATTGACGTCATCGGCGAGCAGGTCCTGGTGGAGGCGGTCCAAAAACGCAACCCTGGAGGTATTGAGCCCCATGGTAGCCTCAAACGTCATTGTGAGTAGGAAGTGAGCTGTCAGAATAAAAATTATCGAAAGAAGGAAAAAATGCAGAGCGAACGCAAAGATGAATGCAGTTCAAAAGCGCAGCGACAAATATTGATGAGCAGCCAAGGAAAAGAAATAAGCAATGCGTACGTAATCAGCGAGCTGGTGAAAAAAAAACTCGGTGAGCAGCCCAAGGCCACCAAGAGAAACAAAAAACTTAAGGGATGTGAGGAAAATATTCGGAAAAACTGTGCAATATACATATATGCTACTTGGCCAATTGCGCTAAGCTAAGCTGGGCCAGTTGAGCGGAGCACCAGATGAGTGGCAATCGGTTAAGAAGATCCACAAATACCCTCTGCTGACTCAAAATTTAAAAAAACCGCGATTGAGCTGGTCTTGAATTGGATGAGCACCGCTGCGTCAGATGAGTCGAGTATGGAGCTGGAGCCACCAGGTGAGCACCACTGCTGCAGGTTGATGCACTCCCGAAAACTGTTAACCAAAACACGAAAAACCGAAAAATATTCCACCAATCCGGCTCGAAGGATCAAACTGTTCGATGAGAGCCTCGGAATTGGTGGAATGAGGTATTGATGACGGAGAAAAAAAAGGATTTTCGGGAGTGGGTGAGCGGAACGAACTGCACGTGCACGTTTCCAAAAAAACACAATATAGTCACTTTTAATTGTCATTTATTGTCAATTTTACACACGAGATTAAACAAAAATAAATGAGCTGAACACAATTGTAATGAACAATGAGCTGAACTATAAACTGATGAAGTTGATTGAGGAGACCGATTAAAGACGGTATCGAGCGGGCAAATACCCACGTGGTGACACGATCAATACGGAAGTCAAGAAGAGGTGTGAAGAAAAACGGCGTTGCGTGGGGTCGGTTGGTAACGGCGAGTTGGCCCGTCAGGTGCTGCCACCGAGCCGTTGCCACCCCGAGTTGTACAGGACCGAGTGGCCCGCGAATTTCGTCCGATTTCAAAGTTTTGTTACTGCGACTACCTCGATTGCGAAACGCACCCAAAGTGACACTGAAATATGTTGAGCTGTGGAGATTGATTTTTGGATACTATTTCGTTCCATGAAATCCAACAGCAACATTTTTCGCACGGAAAAAAAATGATATCATTGTTAAATTATATTTTCCGTAGGAATACATGTGATACTATAGCGCACCTATAGAGCAAATACATACTGTCGTAATTATAAAATCGAAGGACACTGTCCTAAAAATGTCGAAAATGTATAATCATTTTTCATTCCGTACGTGCAATTCTCAATTCGGAATGAATCCCTGAATTATTATTGTGAATTTGGAAAAATGATTGGAATTTCAGTATACTTGTGTATGGTAAAAAATTTAGAAATGTTGAATATTTCCAGTAATTATGTTGGAAAAATCTAATACAAATGAATTCACACACGAGAATAGTAGCTTTACAATCCCAATGTAGTAATTTACATATATGTTCCAGTAGAACTCCAAATATTTGCTGCAATATTCTTGCAAAAATGTAGCAAATACCAATTTTACTGCTGAATTTGTAATTTGATGCAGCAAAAGTTTAGTAATTTTCCAAACTTTTCTAATAGTGTATGTTGTTACCTTTAGGAAGAATTTCATTTTACTTGTGTTGATATTGTTCTTTCATTCCGCAGGGGTTACGAGTTCTTTTTGAAGATGGATCACGTGTGATTTATCGGCTATCTGGCACTGGGAGTTCGGGTGCAACTATTAGATTATACGTTGAAAGTTACGAGTCTGATCCCACAACTTTTGATAAAGATACACAAGAAGTACTGAAGCCTCTTATTGATATTGCTCTACTACTGGGAAAAATTGAAGAATTTACTGGTCGCAATGCTCCTACAGTCATCACATAAATCGTTCCCCGACTCAATCTCTCATTAGCTTGGTTTCCATATAGTCTTCCTCCAACAACTCTTGGATTTCCCCTAGTCAAGTGGTAAAACTCAATCAGCCAAACTTAATCAGACACAATAGGGAGAAAGCTGGTTCATTGCATAACAAATACCTAATAAAGAAAGTTCCTCGCCATTTGCTGCTGAAACAATTTTCCACCAAAATTGAGCGATAATGGATAAACTGTGGAAAATATTATATTTTACCAATATTCTGTTGAAATAATATACTTTCTCATATTTGCTCCCCCGGTATACTTTAGAAATGTCCATCATATTGAGAATCTTCACAAATCTATAATAGGGAGTCCAATCATGGAGCACTTTTACATTTTTACAAATTCGTCGAAAAGTATCATGGCAGATTTGCTTTATTGTTCTTCATGGAAGAGTCATATTATTTAAAGGTTGTAATTTCAGGTATATTTGTGAGGAATAACCATATGATATTGAATAATGAAAATTGTACAAATATTAGAAAAAAATAGTACACTACTAGCGCTGAAATGAAATTTAAACAAACGGTGTAAAAAAAGTTGAAAATATATTTCATGCAGATATGGTGGAGTGGATAAAGACGGCACTCTTCGATGCATATGAATGTCGAGGAATGGTATAAAGACATTTTGAATAGTTAATTATTCTGTTTCACACAAAGTTTTTCAACATTCCCTCCTCAAATCACTCGTTCCCGAAATAATTGTATATTTGATTCAAATTTCATATTCACACGCATTTACTAGAAAATACCTGTTCCTCGATTCCGATTATTATCCACAGTGTCTTAATCAGCCAAAGACATGAATAACAAACTTCTCTCTAGCTTTCTGTTGAATTTTCTTATTTATTTATTTTCTTTAGTGCTACATGTACTGTTTTACACCTACACTAGGCTTCCTCTGTCCTCAGAATAACAATAATAATTCAACAATGTCAAATAATGACTTGGTTGGCTTCCGGATGGATGCCGCGTTGAGTTTCAGCATTGCGCCGACGTTTCGCAAACATTGCAGTCTGCATCTTCAGGGCTATGAGCTCCGATTCTGAGCTCCGATGTGTGGGGGCAGTCCTTATATACCTTCCCTTGTGGTGGTGGG